TTGGTTTATTTATTTAATGTGATTTTATTATAGGCCTATCTGATATTTGTAATTCTTTAAATTATTTCAATATAGGGCTATTTTATCTAGATATGACACTATTGTTTTGAGCCTACAAAAGTGGACATGAAATTTGTAAAGTTTAATGTCTTACTGTTGTATTTATATAGTGTATTATGACCAAAATAAATTAAAACAATAAAAATAAAAAGCCGCTCGCCGCCTCAACAGAGCTATAAATGGAGCGCTCTTTTCCTCGGTCTCACACACATACACAGACATCTAAACGCGCAAAAACACACTTATTAAACTTGACAAAACCTCTTGAAAACCTTTACTGTCAGCTGTGTCTTTAATATGGTGTTAAGATTATTATGCGTTATTGAAACATCAAAGATGCAGCAAAGAAAGATCATTTTATGCAACAGCCTTACATTTAAAAGAGAAACATAAGGGCGATCATATGCAAAAAAAAAAAAAAAGACCCCAGCCTATAATTTGTTCCAGATGTTTTCTTTCCCTTATTTATTTATTTGTTTGGCGCATGTACTCGAGTGCGATCCGAAAACTGTGCCCGCCTCTCCTTTCACTCCGCCCCGAAGCCCCGGCTGGCCCTCTTTGGCCCAAGGTATTCGGCGGGCCGAAAAAGGCCGGCTGCTGGCCCCAAGAAAGCCCCGCTTTGACCCGATTTGGCCCCCGGAAGTGACAGTGGAAACGCCACTGGCCTTGGCTCGCCCTGGCTCGCTCGCTTTAGGCGCGATAGTGGAAACGCGGCTATTGTTTACCATGGTACTTCAAATAATCGGTCTGAATGACTTCAAAACAACATTATCACTATTTGATTGACTGTGGACAAAGCTGTATTTTGATAGTCATTGGCTGCTAATATGATTTCGCTGTGTAGAATTTGAAAGTAATATTTTTCTCAAGTTATATTATTAAGGAGAAAGTCAACATCTACAACTATAAAATCAACTTCACCTCAATGCATTGGACGCACCCTGGTCTGCAATTTTTCTAAAATAAATATGAATTAAGTAGTTAAATTTACAGGGTCGTATTATGCGAGAAGACTGAATAGCGAACTTGACATTAGGGTAAGCTAGCCACGTTACCTTTCGTAAAACAAGAATTGCTATCCTAGCTATAAATACTGATCACTTACATATATTTAAACTAACAACAAACTGTCCAACTATAAGTGGTTTTATTAAAAAAAGAAGCAATGAAAACGTACCTTTACTGGACTGCTGCTTTTAGGATGTCATTGTTTCCCCACTCGTTCTGTTGCAAGCTCTTTCCTATGGCTAAACAAGATCAAGGAAACCTCTTATGATTTCTCTGAGAGCCCACATTTTGGTTGGCAAGTCACTTTACACCAAATATCACAGTGATGTTTGGGGCAAAAGTGCGAGAGCGCAAAACATAGATTTGCAAGTAAAAAAACAGCGCACTCGTAGCGGGAGACTTTAGCCGTTGCAGTAACATATTTGTGTTTGTGCTTAGAACCAAATAAATCAAACATTCTACATGCGTTCAGCTATCTTTGCTTGGATACACATTCTAATCTACAGATGTGCAAGTTTAGTCTGCGACTTCACATTTCTGTATGCAGGTGTGTGAATATTTTGCACCATATTCACTGCAACAGTAGTAGCAAAGGGCATGAGCAGATGAGTTTCTGTATTTGTGTTTGTCCGATGGGATTTGTGCACCTGCACTGAAGAATTTGAAAAGGTGTAAAATGTTGCGTTGTGTTTTTTGGAGACAAAAAATACCTACACAGTTGCAAATTTGCTCTGGGAGTACAAATTTAATGATACATATTTGTGGCTATTCTTTACAACTACAAATTACACTTTTACAGCTGCTTGGGAAGTTTGCACCAAAAAATACCTTTATACATTTTTATCCAACATATTTGACTCCATAACAAACTGTACATTCTCATGTATAAGTACAGCAATGCCACTTTGTGCTATTGAAGTTAGAATGATATAAGTGTATAGCCTCCTCTGTTAGGTTTAGAATAGTCTTTTATCAACAGATGTGTCTCCTGTATATATACAATATCAGATTTTAACTTATTAAGATATCTGAACACCTTGTTTCGTTTCACTGGGCGATTTAGCCCCCGCACATTCCAACTGGTAAAGTTTGTCTTTACTCCACCCATTTTATGGAGAGCTGTCGAAAACATTTATCAGAAGCATCTGAAAGGTATCTGTGGGTTTTGTATGCAGAGGGGGTGTGTGGGAGAGAGGAAAGAAAAAAAAGAGAGAGAAAAGAAAGGGGTGATTGCACCCTTGCTAATTGAAACCTTGCGTGTAAACTTGCTCACACTTCCAGCTATTCCCTCTCTTAACTAGCTTATCATGTGGGACCTCACATATAAAACAAAACAATTTGAACATCTCTTGATGTTTTACTACAAAGCTACCGCATTATTGACAAAATATACTTGAAAACTATAAATAACAACAACAAACATGTGCTATAGTGGTAATTTAAAAGTTAACCGGAGAGTGACATAAACATTTGTATGGTCTTTGATCAGCTACTTCTCGTGATTGCCTTCATTTCAATGGCTTTCTTCAAAATGTCCTCTTTTTCGGAAAAGTAGTGGCATTTAATCATGAAGTCATGTGGCGGTTCCTTGTCGTCCAGTATTTTGCTGTGTAGAGTGCGGTGTGCCCAGTCCAGAAGTGGAGTCTTCTCATGGTTCAGGTTATCTTTCAGGAGGCCAGCCACAAATTCTGTCATGTGTCTGCTGTGCTCCCTTCTTTAACTCCTGTAATGTGGAGATTTGATTGGTGAGACCTCTCCTCAAGATCCTCGCTTCGGTCTCTCAGCAGAGCCAGCTCCTTTTTCACTATACTAAACTCTTTTTCCAGGGTAGTAAGAGAGTTGGAGTATCCACCCAACACAGACTCCAGACCAGTCACTTGCTCTTCCGCTGCTTCCTCTTTGGCGTTAATGTGCTCCACAGCATTGTGTGACTCTGTCCGAAGCTGGTCAATTTGATTGCAAAGTTCATTTGACTGTGCAACAGTCTTTTCTTCAATTTTAGCAATCAAATCGCCTTTAGTGCATCAATAGCTTGAAGGACCACACTGTTATTACTCGCCGGAGCCATCTCTTTCTTAGATGCAGCTTGCATTTCAAGGTAAGCATTAGCATGGAGGCTAGTAGCGGATTCCACCTCTCTTTGCTTCAGCCTATATTCATCCTGATTCAAGTTGAATCACGCTGAGAACAGCTAGACTCATGCACTTATAAACGCTTATTTTCCAGTATAGGTAGATTTAAGGTATTGGGGTTGTATTTAGGATACAAGCAATATTAAATGAAATTTTAAGTTTTACATGAGGACCTCAACCGTTTCCGTCTTTACATGGCGCCACTCCAACCGGAAGTTCAAAACAAGCAATATAACAATAATCACAATGAAACGCAAAACCCTCAGCACTTATAACTCAAATGAAAGTGAAAGGAAACAATGCAAATGATTTCAGGCCAGCAGATTAATCAGATTTGAAAATGGGGGAAAATAATAATAATGATGATAATAATAGTACAGGGAGAAAACAAAACAAGAGAAATAAAATGAGTATTTAGGCAAAGAAAAAAAAAAACTTTTGCTTCTTACCCACGTAGCGGAGGGGTCAAGGAAAATGAGAGGTGAATGGCGAATGTGGAGGTGTGGATGTGAAGGTTGAGGGCGTCGACGAACCCAGCCGGTGAGTAGCAGCCATGGGTGCCAAACAGAAAACTCTGACACCGTCGACTGCGGGATGAAGGCTTTCGGCAGCTCACTCCATGTCAGCGAGATAAATCAGTAAGTTGATTTTGTTCAGGACACACTGCACTGATGTCTTTGGTGATGCACCCGTTCACAAGCTCTTTAGTAACAAGACAGCTGTCTTTGCTCTGTTGCTTCAATACATACTTTCGCTTTTTTGTTTCTCACAGCGAGTCGTTAAGTTTACACTGCTCGTCTTGTCCCGGTTTCTCTACTCGTTTCCCCGCACTTCAACAGTTCAGTCAACTTCTCTTTCTTCCACACACCACGTAATGCTGCCCTCTTCAACTCTCCACCTCTTCCTTTATACTCTCACCCATTTCCTGTTTGCCGTCCCATGGGTGGAGACCAATTAAACAATGTTGACTGTCGCCACAGAAAACACCAACAATTATAAATGCATGATTGTATGCTGTCATGGCTTAGCAATAATAATAAAACATTTTTTACAATAGTGGCCGATAAACAGCCATAATTAAAACGAAAAGGGAGTAAATTTGACCAGTGTATTTTATTTCGAAGCATTTTCCAAGAACATGTCAAAATAAGATGTCCCCAAATACCAGAGAAAGTTTTGGTCAAATTAAGCCTTAAAATCACCCCAGAATGGATGAAAATGACCCAACAGCACACAAGGGGAAAGGTGCACATTCCAGCCTTTATGCAGATGCTGTACAGGTATGTCTTGTGTCTGCGAAGCAATTATTCAGCTCTTTGTTCAGCTGTTACCCCAGAACTTTTTTTCCGATGTGTCTACCAGTCAGTCACAGAATGAACAAGTATTCCGTCTGCTGTACAAATTTTTGAAAAACATTTAGTTGTTATTATGAATATACCATTTACTTAAAATAGGCCATTTACAGCTTTCAAATCTGTGTCTTATCAATATGACCAAAATGACTTTTATGAGAAACTCTGAAAACTGAACTGACACTGTTTCAATTTACTATAACTTCTATGTTAAGCAGCTTTGACACAATTTACATTTGTAAAAGCACTAGATAAAAAAAGATACATTAAATCGAATCTGCTTAAATGTGTAAACATTAATGGATTAACAACATAATATGGTTTGATTTATTTTACATTTAATGTGCATCAAAATTACACTATGTGTACCCAATGTTTCCAGTGTCTTTTCACTTTTCAGCTTTTGATGAGAGTTTTAAGACTTAATGAAAACTATTTCTTTTTTCAGACCTACTTGAAAATAATAAGGGGAGTAAAGAGGAAGAACATCATGTCAAAATTGAGGAAAAAACTCATTTACAGACTGATGATATTTCGAAAAGAAGAGACAAGAATAGTTTCACCTGCTCTCAGTGTGGAAAGAGCTTTGGAAGACAAAGCAGTCTTAAAATTCACATGAGGATCCACACTGGAGAGAAACCCTACACATGCTCTCAGTGTGGGAAGAGTTTTAGCGTATCATCGCACCTTAATCTACACATGAGGATCCACACTGGAGAGAAACCATTTAGGTGCACTCAGTGTGGTAAGAGTTTTAACTGCACATCACCCCTTAATAAACACATGAGGATCCACACTGGAGAGAAACCATTCACATGCACTCAGTGTGGGAAGAGTTTCAGCCAATCATCATCCCTTAATCTACACATGAGGATCCACACTGGAGAGAAACCATTCACTTGCACTCAGTGTGGGAAGAGTTTTAACTGCTCATCACACCTTTATCTACACATGAGGATCCACACTGGAGAGAAACCATTCACTTGCACTCAGTGTGGGAAGAGCTTTTACTGCCCATCACACCTTAATCAACACATGAGGATCCACACTGGAGAGAAACCATTCACATGCACTCAGTGTGGGAAGAGTTTCAGCCAATTATCATCTCTTAATAAACACATTATGAGCCACACTGGAGAGAAACCATTCACTTGCACTTAAGCCGCGGTCACACTGGACTTTTCTCCCCATAGACTTCCATTCATATGCAGGCAAATGCGTCAGATCAGAAATGCAAGTTCATGCGTCAAGTTTCCTAGTTCATTGCCTTGCAAAGTTCAAGCTTGGTGAACTCTGACCTGCGAAGTCACATTACTGGACTGTGTGAGAATGTGTGTAATCGAATATTAAAAAATTACCTTTCTGGACAGAAATTTAAAATATGGACCAATCGCTCACTTTTTTAATGTCTAATCATCTTGCTTAATCCCGCCCCTTTTCGCAGCGCCATACAACAGAATTTTGCATGCTCAAACTCTAGTGTGGGAAGAGTTTCAGCACATCCTCAAAATTGACCCAAAATTGAAACTGCACTAGACAATTCACACTGGAGAGACCGTACAAGTGTTCACACTGTGACAAGAGGTTTAATTAGTTAACACATCTGAAAACAGAAGAGGATTCACACTGGAGAGAACCCGTACAGATCTGATGAGTGCCTACAGAGTTTCTCTCATTTGGCGCAGCTTAAGAAACTTAATGCAGCAACATTTTCTCAAGTGCACAGGATGTTTCATGTCTGAATAATGTTTGAAAAGGCTGAGTGACGGTATACTGTTTTCCAACACTCCTACACTGCAGTAGGTGGGGTTGTAAATGTGTCACGTTTGCCGTAAACACAATGATGGCGGCTGAGAGAAGAACAGTTTCATAAACATCTGGCAAACAGCAACTCTGCAGCTTGAAATCTTTTTGCAATTGATTGTACAGGTGCGGCAAAATCTGTACTCCACTCTTCAGTGTATTTATGTAGCAAGTGTTGTTTTGGATGAGGTTTTCTGTCTGACTCTCTAAATGAGAAACAAATAGCCACAAAGACACTGCACATAAGAGAAGGTGGAGCTCCAGGATGGTTAGTTTGCAGTATACCAGGGCCTCAAGTTTAGAAAGCCCATTCAATTGTCCTGTGTTGCAGCTTTTATTAGTAAAGTTTCTTTAGTTTTGGGTTCAAGATTCGTTCTAGTTTACTACATTTACTTTTTTTGAGTAGAATACAAACTTGATGAATATTTTATGATTAAGACATTTTATAATAACTACACACAATAAATAATTTAGCAAATGGTGAATTCATTATCTGTTAAGCATTAACTCTACATTAATAAATGTTAGTAAGCAGTTTATAACTGCAGCTACAAATTCTCTATTCTTGACTTATAAGCACCTTTATAATGTGCTTAATGATTGTATTTTTTATTACTAAATTAAGTATCGCATTATTTACAAACCAGTTGTATTTAAGAGTAGTTGAGGGTTTTTAGGATAATTCAGAATGAGTTAGTAAATGATTAATAAACTATTGAAATCAATGTTTATGTCTTATTATTCAGGCATATATTAATGGTTACTATGTATATTAATAAATGCTTTATTAACTCAACTTCATCTAGTTTTGTGACCTAATCTAAAGTGAAGACTATTCATGCTTTATGAATCCCTTATAAATGACAAATAAAGGCACAGTTAAATTCTAAACAGGGAAAATGACATTTTTCATTCCTATTCTTTTAAAGATACTCAAATGAAACTGTACTTCAAATGAAAAATAAATCTTTGCAACCTTATCTAAAATAAAATCACTGTAGAGTTTAAACTTTGCATCTTATTATATTGTTCAATTATTATATTGTTGTTGTTTTATCCAGTTTTCTGTCGTATTTTGACACCCCTGTTATTCAGCAATGTTTAAACTTTACAGTAATTTTACTTTTTTGAAAAGATTGCAAAGATTACTGTTCATTTGATTCTGAGCCTTTAATAGTCATTTATAAGGGATTTATAAAGCATAAATAGTCCTCACTTTAGATTAGTTTGCAAAACTGCATGAAGTTAAGTTAATAAATCATTTATTAACATATTAGTTAACTATTAGTATATGCCTGAATAATAAGACATATAAATGTTGATTTCAATAGTTTGTTAATCATTTACTAACTCATCCTGAATGATCCTAAAAACCCTCAACTACTCTCAAATACAAATGGTTTGTAAATAATCGATACTTATTTTAGTAATGAAATGTAAATCATTAACTAAGTATAAAAATACAATACGTCTTTTTTCACCTGGGTCATACTGTCAAATACATTCAAATGACACTTTTAAGCATTATATGTATGACATATTTACATACACTTTATTGCCATATATATATATATATATATATATATATATATATATATATATATATATATATATATATATATATA